GTCGACCACACACGCACAGGACCCGGAGATCCTTGTGGGAGGTGTAGCACTCCCGAATTCTGCCTTCGGAGGTGCATGTTGCGATTGCAGACATGAAGGGTGACACAGCGCCGGGACCTGACAAGATCTCAGTCGATATGTTTCGAGCGGCTGGCCACAAACTTCACGTTCCCAGCAACCCCCATGACGTCCTACCTCCAAAAGGAGAGAATTCCGGACCAGTGGAGAAATTCGCGCATAGTTATTCTGCACAAAAAAGGTGACCGCGATGGTCTTCCTAACCACCGTCCCATTAGCTTGCTGAATGTCCTCTAAAGCTCTTTACGAAGGTCATTCTAGCGCGGATATAGCGAACACTGGACGAAGCCTAACCGCTGGAGTAAGCTGGATTCTGCAAGGGATTCAGCTGCTTGGATCACACCAAATCATTTGCTATGGTCATACAAGTGAGCCGAGAATTCCGAATGCACCTCGTCCTAACCTTCGTTGACAACGGAAAAGCCTTTAGATCGAGACTAACGTGATCTTTTCGGCGCTAGTCGAACAAGCAGTGGAGCCGTGTCATATAAGAACGCTGGTATTTAGACTGTAGCTGCCGCTGCAGCTCAACGGTACAGCTTTTCAAAGGACCTCTCACTGTTCCCGTGGGGAAGGGCGTGAGACAAGGGGTACCATCTCGCCGAAGCTGTTCACCGCAACACTGCAGTGGGTCATGAAGTCGCTAGGCTGAGACGAAAAGGGTATGTGAGCGGATAGTCGTTACCTCTCAAACCTTCGTTTCATGAAGGACATTGTCCTCTTTTCAAGTAGTACCGGAGAGGCAGAGGTGACGATCGCAGTATTGAACGAAGCGGGCAAGAAGGCGGGGTTGCGAATCAACTGAGCGAAGGCCCAGTTCGTGAGGAATGCTTGGGCCAATGGGCCAAATTAAAATTGATGTTACAGCTATTAAGGAAGCATCATCATACACTTATGTCAGGGGTCCATGAACATGGAAAACGACATGAAAGAGGAATTGGGAAGGCGGCAGAGAGCGTGGGCGGCATTTGGAGCTCTCAAAGAAATTACTGACCATTTGCTTGACCCGGAACTTCTTGACAATCTGTTCGATTCCACAGTTGCGATCTACTCTGCGGCCGAGACATGGGTGGATAGTACATCCACATCAAGAGCTTTGACTGTGACGCACAGAGCGCTCGAACGCTGTCTTTTAAGGTCGGTACACGCAATATCGAGCTGGAGCTCCGGCTTACGCCTACGCGTCCGCTGGAATACGTAACGAAAGCAATACTGCGATGGGCCGGTCATATAATGAGGAGGCGCGATGACAGATGGACGAAGAGAACGGTGGAATGATCTCCTGTAGGACTTCCACGGTCTAGGGGAGACCTGCTGCACGAGATGCGCTACCAATCACGTAAGGCAGCTGCCTGAACGAAGTCCCGGATCGTCATCTCCACAGACTCTTGA